CTTCATTGGCCAATTCTATTCTATGTAGGGTGGTTTTGTATGCTGGAATAATGATGGGGTTTGGGCATAGCTACTGAGATAGATGTTCAAGGAATCAATATAGAATTCTATCTAATGCTGAGAACTTCTTAGTTTTTTTAATGTCGTTGGTAGTTTATGTGTGTCTCTAATTGCACGTCCCTTGATCTGATTCGTTTTAATCAAGATGGCATACTGCTTTTGGAGGCCAACCGGATGCTTCGTGCAGGAGGGTATTTTGTTTGGTCTGCACAGCCTGTTTTACTGTTTATAAGCATGAAGCAGGCCTGGGAGTGCAATGGGAAGGTATTTTAGTACTGATTATCATTACTTGTTTGCTCGAAAAAGAATGAGAAGTATTTGTTGGAAAAGTTACGTTGACAACAACTGCTATTTAAGTCGCGGGGCAGGAAGCCAGCTGCCATTGTGTGATCCGAACGACGATCCTGACAGCATCTGGTACACCTTCTCTGCCAATCTGGTTCATTATATTTCATCCCATCCATCATTAGACCTGTTGTGCTTCTCACTTTCAAGTTTCAAGATTTCAATTCCATGATTATTTGCTGTCCTGTTCTGCAACTTGTGCTCATTCTTATTGTTATAGTTTCTTTCTTGAAGGATGTTATGTTAAACACAATCTCAGGTTAGGGTACAATGGAACTGCAGTGAAGGTTTGAATGCCTGCTGTAACCAGTGCATTTTGAATCCCTCCCAAAACTATGCCAAAGGTGTATGTAGTTAGTTCTCCGATATCTTAATTGTGTTGGGATCTGTTTTGTAGTCGGATGCACCGCTACATGCATCAACCACGTGTGCCCGGCATCCTAATGCACAGGTTTAGATGTTCTTCAGTAATGGCCTGTAGGAAAGGAATATACATTTTTCATCCCTGTTGCTTGAGATGATGGTTGCTACCTGTGTTCAATGGAACTTCAGTGAAGTTCTCAACCTATAGTGCTCAGGGGGTCAGCCTTCCATGAGCCTATCATAGTCAATAACAAACCCCAAGGCAATCAAACAATCATATTCATATGATTGCTGGTAACTAATCTGAAGTTGATTACAAGATCAATAATACTAACAATTAATAAAACAAACAAAATACTTGAATAGCAAAGAAAAAAAGAATGCATACTTAACCAGTGCATTTTTAATCTCGACTCAAACCTATGCCAAAGGCGTTTTTAATTAGTTTACCGATACTTTAATTGTTTGGGATTTGTTTTGCAGTCGGTGCATCAGGTGGTATTCAGGGCTTCAAAGAGGGGATCACGTACTACTTCTAAACCTGTACGTGCAAGCGGTTCATGCACAACATCTTGCTGAGTGCAGTAAATGGCAACATGCAGAATACTGTCACACGCGTTGGGGAGTATGACCACCACAGGTGCGCACAAATGCTCCAAGAATCACCTCAACCGCATCAGTAGCAAGGTCACAAATAAAGGGCAGACCCGTAAATAATTTAGTCTTGTATTACACAGGTGGCCACTTTAAAAATGCAAAAGTAATGTCTTTTTTTTTTTTTTTTGGCCACTAAAGTGGGGAGCACCACTGTCCACTGGTGGTGTCTAGTACGTTCGACCCATGCTAATTTGTAGTGCAAATTATGCTTTGGAAACGTGTTCACCATGAATGGTGAACACGAGTCCAAACGGTATCGTTTTTATGGAAAAAAAAATTAGTTAATGTACTGTTAACGGCGCGCGTTTGTTCATATTATGAATTTTCTGTTATGAAATAATGAATGTACTGTAAATTCATAATCTCATAACAGAAAATTCATAATCGCATAAAAGAAAAACATTTATTAAATTATGAATTTTCTGTTATGAGATTATGAATTTACAGTTATGTAATTATAAATTTTTTATAAATTCATAATCTCATAACAGAAAATTTATAATTTCATAACAGAAAATTCATAATCTTATAGAAGAAATTTCATAATTTCATAACTGCACATTCATAAATTTATACCTGCACATTCATAATTTATGAATGTTGAAGAAACTTGCGCGAAGAGGAAGTGAAATGGGGTACAACCACCACCATTCAAAGTGTATTCACATATACATGAATACCTTTAACTGAAATTTCAAGGTAACAAGGAACTAAGTGCACAAACATACTGAACTATGAATGAATCTGGCCAATATGCATTTCAATATTTCCTAATCTGGTTCTGGAGCAATCAAACATACTGGCCAGAATGATTGTTACGCATGTGCTGCCGCAGCCACAGTCGAAAGTCCACCGCAGTGCATCGATCTCCACCGTTGCGCTGAAGTGGCGTCGTCTAAGAAACTCCACCGTGATGACGGAAAAACAAGGCTGGGATAGACGTCTCTTGCGTTCAATTCAATCAAAAAAAGAAAAGTGATCTTCCGGAAATGCCCCAAGGGCAACCTGTGTGGTGGTGCATCGTAGGGGAAGCATGTATAATTGGTGTCCTTAGATGCACAAAATCAATGCCCCAGATCGGTGCACAAGTTCACACATTATAGATGATTTGCACCAAAAAACCACCATATATATATATATATATATATATATATATATATATATATATAAACTAATCAAGATACTTAAATTTTAGATTTTTAAAATTTAATGTCAAGTGAATTTTAGCATAGGCCTGAATTCAACAAAAAAACTTTTACACTTTAAAAATCTAAAAGCCTAAAAACTTCATAAATTGTTAACAATTTTTTAGTAGAATCCAACAAAGCTGAATAGGAATTCATTCTCATCACCAATGTGAGGTTAGATAATGAATAGGACCAAAGAAACTCAAAAACATAATGCTACCTTGTATTTTATATTGCGGTAGAAACCAAATCCAAGCATCTTGTTATTTTGCACCATGCCTGTTTCTCCAAAGAGGTCACCTCTGAGCATATTACAGTCTAATTCAACTACAGCTCAATCTCTAAATAACTTGAGTCCATTGGTACTATAGTGAAACATTAGAAAAGCTAACATGGGCATTCCTTCTGATACGAGATTGGCCTTCAAGTTCCAGCGTAAATAATTCTCGTTGATGCTTGCATATGCCATGACTATCAACAAAAGTCAAGGTCAAACACTAACTCACGTTGGGTTATTGCTAAAAAAACTGGTCTTTAATCACGGATATTTTCGGACAATTGTACATGACTTCCTTCCGAGTCACCCATCCCGGTGGCCTGAACGTGTTAGCTCTAGGCGATGATGGAAAAGATTGTGTTGCGACTACCAATTTCGTTTACAAAGAAGTTTTCAATAATGTGTAAATACAATCGTTGATATTATGTTTTTTTTTTTCAAAATAACAAAATTTCTATATATCTAGACAAAAATATATCCTCTATGCAAATGAATTAGGATAACAATTGATTATTATAACTAAGTTGCTAGAGAACGAGCACATTTGTCTAATTTATAAAAATCTTAAACAATGATATATAAAATCTTTAAAGTTACAACGCTGCATGCGTACATCTACACATTAACACTAGTACAAAAAACATCAATAAAATCGAATAATTCGCGTCCAAAGTTAGAACTTTGGACGCCTAAAGTGTAGTGCGGTGGCACTTTTGTAATTAAAATGTCACTATATAATTTGTTTTTTATTTTTTTCTGAAATTAAAAAAAATAGGCGTCCAAAGTTGTAGAACTTTGGACGCCTATTGTATGCCTAAAGTAGATGCGGTGACATTTTTGTAATTAAAATATCACTATTTATTATTATTTTTTAGAAAAAGGGTCAAATTGGCCCCCTAAGTCAGACGGATAGTGCAATTGGATCCCCTAACTAAAAAAAGCTCATTCAGAACCCCCAAACCTGTAAAATGGTTCGATTAAGTCCAACTTGTTTAACTGATTAAGTCTACAAATGATTCACACGTGTCTTTTAAAAATATTTTTTATTTTTATTTTTTTATAAAGTTTATTTATTTATTTATTAAAATATATATTATATATAATAATTAAAAATAAAAATAAAAAACACAACTGCCTGCCCAGATTCTACATCGCCATTGTTATCGACGGCGAAATGGTCTTCCTCATCGGGGACTCCCAATAAGAACGTATTCAAAACCAGAGCCAAATTTCCGGCCACCGGCGCCGGCCAAGCCATGGTGCTAAGGAGGGAACACGTCTGCGGTGGCAAACTGTACATCACCAGAGGCACCGTCGACGGCCGGGACCGAAACATATCCATCGATTGTCGCCTCTCCAGCGACGACCTGAGGTGTATTTCTATGTGGACAACAAAAGGGTCCTCCAAGTGAAGCATTTGAAGTGGAAATTCCGAGGCAATGAGCGAATCGAGATCGACGGAATCCCCATCCACGTCTCCAGGGACGTCCACAACTGGCTCTTCGAGGACGACGAAGATGGCTACGCCCTCTTCATGTTCAAATTCGATAAGCACAGCAGCTTCAGAGATGAAGACGACGACTACTTGAACCACCTAGCCGCCCGGAAAGCGGTGAACAGCTGCGGATTCAGGTTCGAGACGAGGATGATGAAGAAGGATTTGCTCCGGACGGCGAGAAGCTCGTCGTCGTCCAGTTGTAGTTCGGTCATGGAGTGGGCCAACACGGAAGAGAATGAGCTCAAGGGCCCTCCGGGATTCTCGTTGCTGGCCATCGGTAACAATGGCGATTAGAATCCGGATCCAGACAGGCAGCGGTGTTTTTTATTTTTATTTTTATTTTTATTTTTTAATTATTATATATAATATAATTTTAGCAAATAAATAAATAAACTTTATTAAAAAAACAAAAATAAAAAATATTTTAAAAAGACACTTGTCAACCATTTGTAGACTTAACCTGTTAAACAAGTCACTTTGAACTTAATTGAACCATTTTATAGGTTTAGGGGACTTGAATGTAGCTTTTTTTTTTTTTTTTTTTTTTTTTTTTTAGTTAGGGGACCCAATTGCACTATTCGCTCGACTTAGGGCCAATTTGACTTTTTTTCCTTATTTTTTTTACACAAATAATAAACATTTGAGTCCAATGTTAGGATTTTTCTGAACAAAATCGCCTCTAACCTTGTCTTCTTCCCCGTCTATCTCCTTCTCTATTCTGAACAAAATCGCCCCACAGCCGCTGCTCTCCATCTCCACTCCGCCGGTCGTCCATCGTCAATCGCTGTCCCGTATCCAGCTGTAGTCGCTTGCCGCTCGCCTCCATCGTCTTCCCCTGCATTGCCTTCTCTGCTACTCTCGTCGCCGCTGCGCTATTGTTTGCTGCCATCGCCGTTCGCTCTCACCGGCGGTCTCGCCCGTCGCCCATTGCCGCAAGCTCGCCTGTCATTAGATTTTTAGTAGTGCTCATTGGATGGTCAGTATTTTATTTTAATTTTGTTTTCTCGTGCCGGAAAATCGTAGAAATGAACAATAAATGATGATGAAGGATTAAAGGACGCAGCTTCTACAAAAATTGAAATTATAGTGAGTAGACTATGGATAGGATTAACCAATGATGAGCTTAAGAGTTGTGTAGGTGTTTTTAGCTACTTTTTTCTACTTCTCTAAATACCCTATGAGCTTCATGTATTCTAAAGTAAAATTATCATATGAATGCATGTACTATTTATCTTGGCTGGTCTTGACTGGAGAAATCAAATGCACAGAATAATGTAATTTTGTTAACTCAGATTGTCTTAAAACATCAAAGAGTGGTTGGTATGAAGTACTTGCAAAATACATTGTTTCTTCTGTTTGTTTATTGAGTATCAAAGTTCTGATCCATAATAAATCTGTCATGCAAGCTATTATTTTGTTTTTTTTGTGCTCCATCACCCACTCGATCAATGCTTTCTTCTATTTGGCCAAGTTGTCCCTGCATTATCTGTGAAATATGATGCATATAATCATACTGCAGGTCAAGAAAGAAATTAAAGAAAGCAGGATTAGGGCCACATCCATCAAAGGTTTGGTTTTCCGATCTATTTTCTTAATCAATTTTTAACTATACCACATATATAAAGACAGCTAATTTGCTGGCATTAATCCACGAGTTATCTTTGGTGTTCTTAGCTGGTGAATATCCATTTCTGTGTAGATTTGATAAACAATTCACAAGAAGAAGTTCGTCCTAAATTAAAGTTTTGATTAGTGCAACTGCAGTTGGCTATTATATTATGGTTTCATATTAAATTCTTTCGATTTCTTAAATTATAGAAGACCACATATAGTGTTCCAGTCTGATTTTCAAATTAAATCACAGGTACAATGGAGAACTATAACAGTTTACTTGGGATTAGAGAGTATCCTTCTTTTACCAATGACATCCTATAAATGACTGTGATAAGTTGTATTTGGTCCATAAATGGTAATCTTTTTAAGTTGTACGCGTTGTATTTGGTCCATAAATGGCATCCTAAAATCTCAGTTGTTTCTCTTTAAATGAAATTCAAATCTGTCAATGACTTTCTCAACCAAATTGCTTGATTCACCGAAGCAGTCTACTTTCAGACTTCTAGTCGAGCTTGTCTCTCTTTAATTTTGTTCTTTCACTACTCTATTTTGACGTGGAGTGTAAATTATTGTTATTGATGATTGATGATTGATTCATGCATCCTCACAAAACTCGCTAAACTTGTTAGAAGTATATTCAGCTCTATTACTGGGCCTTACCATCTAGTGTTCACTCTGATATTCAATCCAAATTTTGAACCTCCAAAATACATCTACCATACAGTATGATAAGTGGAATTTTAAATTTCTCTGCTTTTCTATTTCCATTTTTTTTATCAAGTTCGTTTTCAACACATTGTTTGTTTCTAAATCCAGTACCCCACCTGTGTTTAAAATTTTATTAGGTGTGGCTATGAGTTGTATACTTGCAAGTGCATATTATTTTTTTATAACCAATTTGTCTCTTTCATGAACTCTATCTATGTGTATCAATTTTCAAATATCTAATATCTTTCTACTCATCGTATTTAGTTCTAATTCTATATTCAAATGATTATAGCAGGTAACTACAACTCTTCTCCTAACATTATTAAACACTGCTACAGCCTCCTTAGCAAAGATAAATGTACTCTCAAAAATGGGGAATATGCCAAAACTGGGTTAGCTAAAATAGAACGATGGTGGGCAGACAACAGAAGAGGTACTCTAATATAAATGTATTGGTATACCCTAAGCATATATATGATGTCTTTACAGTGTAACAATATCTTGATTTACGTAGTAATATCAAACATGTTGATGCAGTATGTTGGTTCCTCTTGGGATGACTTAAAACATGCAAGGCATGCTGTAGGATTCTTGGTATGCTTTCTTGTTTGCTTTATGACAAAGTAGTTTTGATGTTGAACATGATTTCATATTCTTTGATAGAAGACCAAATTTTATGTCATGGGTGGACTGCTTTGCAGCTATTGACTTTAAGACAATAGTGAGATGACTTTCTTACCAGTCTTCTGACTTAAACTGAGATTTCAGCAGATGTGTGTTTCTCATAACATTTTGAATGTTTGATACTTTGATGTTGATTGATTGTTGACTTCTTTTCTTATTTATTTCTGGTTCACTAATGATTGTTATTTCAGATATTGAGGAAGCTTGAAGAAAGAGGAGGTGATTTAGATCGTTTACAAGAGATGGATGAGAAAGAAATTGGAGCTCTGATTCGTTTTGCACCTATGATGTGGATTTTGGTAGAGGTATTTTCTTTTAGAATACTTTCAACAGTGGGCTTGCATTTTATTTTCTAGCACTATGATGTGGACAAATTTTTATTAATTATATCATACTGTGTATTTGGTTATTATTTGTCATAATATTAGTGCTGATTTCAGTTTTTTATCTTAAATATTAAAAAATATATATATAAAAAATATAATATAATATATATATATATATATATATATATATATATATATATATATATAATACGCATACAAAGTTCATGAACTTTGGACGCGTATAGTGTTTATTTTTTTTAATAAAAAATACTATACGCGTCCAAAGTTCTTCAACTTTGGACGCGAATTATCATTTTTCGCGTCCAAAGTTCTTCAACATTGGACGCGAATGATATTTTTCGCGTCCAAAGTTACTTTGGACGCTAATTGTATATACAATTAGCGTCCCCTACATCCGCGTCCAAGCAACTTTGGACGCCTTTTAGCCTTAATTTTGGACGCGAATGACTGTTTTTGTACTAGTGTAACTATTAATTTGAGCAATTATTGCTCGAATTCAAGCAATGATAGCATCAACATAAAAGATCCATACCATATCTTCAATTGCACTATATAATATTTGATGTTATAATTTAAATAATTGTATTGTTAAGCCAATATGTGGCTAGTATTCTTTATTTGTTATTTATCCTATTTGTACTCCTATAGACTAGTTGTGTTTGGTTGTAACTTGTTGCTATCTTCACTCCTCTATGTACTATATATAGGTTGTGTTTTACATCAATAAATGCAACCATTCATAATCTTTACATGGTATCCAGAGCCTAAAATCTCCTACGAAAGATTTTTTTTTTCCTTGCTTCCTGCCTATTCAATGGCGTCCACCACCCAAACTACTCTGGCCACCACTGAAGTCGTCCAGCTTCACGCTACTACACACTTCCCTATCAAACTCACACCTACGAATTTCCCAGTCTGGAGGCGCCAAGTTCACTCTACACTCATTGGCCTCAACCTCCATGGCTATGTTGATGGTTCTGTCCAAGAACCGCCTAAGTTTTCTGGTTCGGCTCAAACAGCCACAAACCCAGATTATTTACATTGGGTCCGTCAAGACCAAGTCATCGTCAGTGCACTCTTAGAGAGTTGTTCTGACTCGATTCGACTTCTCGTGTCTTCGGCTTCGACAGCCTATGATGCTTGGCAACGCCTAGCCACTACTTACGCTAGTGCGTCTCAAAGCCGAGCTCGTATACTTTCCCTCAAAATCGAGCTCACTCAAAATCCGAGAGGTACTCGGTCGATTTCTGTATTTTTGAATGACATGCGATCCATCGCTGATGCACTCGCGTTGGCGCAGTCCCCGGTCTCTGATGAAGACCTTGTCGTGTACATTCTAACGCAGCTCGAGGATGAATATCATTCAATCTTCTCCGCTGTTTGCGTCCGACAGAAGCCTATTTCCTTAGCGGAACAAGCCGATGACCGAGCACGCCAAACCGTGCTGGCTACTGCCAATATCACTCCTACTACTGCTCCTTTGCGGTCATTCTCCGAGTACAATGGTCCGGACCAAATACGCTTGGGTGACGGTAACTCTTTACACATGTCTCACATTGGTCATGCCGCAATTCCCACCCCTTCTTCTGCCCTTAGTCTAGAAAATGTCTTGCATGCTCCACTGCTGCACAAAAGTTTAATTTCTGTTTCACAACTTTGCAAAGCTAATCGTGTGTCTATTGAGCTCTTTGCGTCTCAGTTTGTCGTGAACGATCTTCAAACCGGGATGGCATTGTTACGAGGGCCGAACGTTAATGGTGTGTACCACAATACTCTCTCTTATGAGCCTCAAATGAATGCCACGCACCTGCCATCTGTGTCTGAATGGCACCACCGGTTGGGGCATCCGTCAAATACGGTGTTACAACTCGTGTTGCAACACTGCACAATTCCAGTTTCTGCTGCTGTCACACCATCGTCTCCCGTGTCCACCCAGCCTGGAGTTGTTCCTATCCCCACTCTGACTCCTACTCTGCCTTCTGTGTCTTCCCCGGCTGGGTCTCTCTCTAGCGTAGCCGACTACCCGCAACCTGCACCAGTAGATGTTCAAACTCATGTTCCAACACAATCCGGCGAGAATGGTTTGGACATCCCCACTGGTTTACCTTCAGCTGCGTCTAGTTTGTCACCCCCTGGTTGTTCGTCTTCCGCTGTTCCAGAGCATAGTCGTCACACCAACCAGTCTGGATCCTTGCCTGTCACCACCTCCGAAGGTTCCCAAACGCAAAATGATTTACGCCGGACTACCCGAGAGCGTCGTCCCAATCCCAGGCCGCCTACGGATCATCACAGGCAGGCTGCAAAATGGCTTCTTCGCTATCTCAAAGGTACGGTTTGCCATGGCCTATTTCTACGGGCGGGTCAGCCGTTATCTCTACGAGTGTTCACTGACTCTGATTGGGGAGGTTGCACCACCGATGGCCGTTCTACCACCGGATATTTGGTGTATCTGGGTGACAATCGCATTTCCTGGAAGTCCACGAGACGCAAATCCGTTTCGTTAAGCCTTCGGTCCAAGATTGGAGTCTCCGACGGATCCTCCATCTTGCGAGGGCGTGTTAAGCCAATATGTGGCTAGTATTCTTTAGTTGTTATTTATCCTATTTGTACTCCTATAGACTAGTTGTGTTTGGTTGTAACTTGTTGCTATCTTCACTCCTCTATGTACTATATATAGGTTGTGCTTTACATCAATAAATACAACCATTCATAATCTTTACATGTATAACGACCCAAATATTTTTAATATATTATAACAAATTCATTTCGTACATCGCACGGGTGAAAATACTAGTTACACATGAAAGGTAAAATCGTACTAAAAAATGAGTTTTATCAAAAATTAAACTTATGACCTTTACTTAAAAAAATAAAAAAATTAAAAAACTTATGACTTTTAAATTCGAAAATCAAGATGTATTTACACTCCGAAACCTTTTGGAGCAAGTTATAAATTCTATTCTTATTTTAATTAAATTGTAATTTTCGGGCAGTGTTACAAAATTTGACTAAATTTATTGGCATTTGAAATTTTGATGAAAAAATCGTTTGGTCGTACTAGTTTAACTATTAATTTGAGCAATGATAGCATCAACATAAAAGATCCATACCATATCTTTAATTGCACTATATAATATTTGATGTTATAATTTAAATAATTGTATAACGACCCAAATATTTTTAATATATTATAACAAATTCATTTCGTACATCGCACGAGTGAAAATACTAGTTACACATGAAAGGTAAAATCGTACTAAAAAAATGAGTTTTATCAAAAATTAAACTTATGACATTTACTTAAAAAAAAAAAAAAAAACTTATGACCTTTAAATACGAAAATCAAGATGTATTTACACTCCGAAACCTTTTGGAGCAAGTTATAAATTCTATTCTTATTTTAATTAAATTGTAATTTTCGGGCAGTGTTACAAAATTTGACTAAATTTATTGGCATTTGAAATTTTGATGAAAAAATCGTTTGGTCTTTATTTATTACTCCTCCAATTTTTGGTCAGACGACTAGACTTCAATCGAATCGATTGAAATATACGGAGAGAGAATGTTGCACGAAACGTTGCGGGTTTTTTTTTTTTTTTTTTTTTCTAATTTTTTTTCTTGAACTCTTTCAAAATATTGAATACTAATTAATACACACTATACATGCATTTGACTCAATGCTCAATAAAATAAAATAGGAAAAAATTTTCAAAAAAAAAAAAACAATAGAAATAATTAAATATCAACAATAAAGGAAAAAAAAAGAAGGTAAAAGTACAAAAAAAATTGTAAGTGTTGTACAACTCATTACATATAATGGAATATTGCCCGCACAGGCTTAACTCATTGATTTAATAGACACTATTTGGGAGAAGAGATCAATGTTCGAACCGCGACAGCTGCAATGTGAGATTATGCCTAGAGTGGGCAGATCCCTTGTGCGCACCGACATTTCGCTCCGTCTGCTGAGCCATTGAGTTACCGTGATTTACATCCTCCTAAATACTCTGTTGGGCCGAGGTTGGGGGAACAAAATAACAAAAGAAAAGGGGTAAATTTTTAAAAAGAAAATTGTAATTGTACAGTAAAATAAGTATAATGTATAAGTTTTGATTTTAAAAAAAGTTTGTAATCGTTGTCGAATGTGTACTTTAGGTGAAGTCCATATTGTGATTTTAGTCGAAAAAGAATTACAATGAGGTAATCAGTTTAGGTTGCTGATCAACTCAAATTAAGAAAGTCAATAGGTAGTTAATTTTTAATGAGTAAAATTCGAAACCTTATAATTATCAATGCCTGATCAACTCGACTGTGATTACTCCCAATATAATGTATTAGTTATTATTACAATGGATCTCACACACACACACAACCGTGTCATTGGACGATTCGAACATGGCCAGGCCAACTAATTGTTTAATTTAGCTTGTATAATCTGGCTAAGTGGCTAGTTTACGAGTCAATACTTAGTTGCTCTTTGAGTAATTTTTTAATTAAGCATTCGTTCAGAGAAGTTTACGTTTTTACACAAATTGCATTAACTTAGCTTATTTTTATTTATTAATTAATGAGTCATTACAATATATTAAGAACTCTAAATTAAAACTATGCCAACAAGCATACATTTATACGTGTAACTATGTACAACTTGTATTTTTATTTTTTTGACATCAAACCCTTGTATTTATTTATTATTTATTTTTTTTTCAAACACGCATAAAGAATCAAGAGAGTTTAGAAAAAAAAAAAAAAAAACCTGTATTTTTAATTTCTATTAATTTCATTTTATCAAAGGTGTAGTTTGGGTTAAGTCCGCGTCCGTAGTTAATTAGTTCAAACAAAGAAAGTCAATAGACAACTCTTATATATGGGAAGTCAAAGTTGAAATCTTTTGATTATTAAGTCAACTGTTCGACCAACTTAGTTTGGGTTAAACCTGGGAGTGTGATTGATTGAAAATGACTCATTCATCCTTAACTAAACGTTAACAGAGCGTTTGGTTAGAGGGAATAATTTAAATTCTCTTCCCACTT